GCTTTTCTGACCTTGCAACCCCACTGGGGGAGTCTTTCCCCTATTTTCTTTCCTCTCCTCTCTGTTTTCCCTTTCCTCACTGCCTAACCCTAACCCTTCTGAGGTGAATGAGGCAAGGTGGCAGCTACTGCTTTACAGTTTCTGCCCTGTCAAGGGTGAAATGCAGGGTGGAAAACATGCCCAAAGGTGAAAATATAAGACACAAAAAGAAACAAACAAAGCAAAAAAATAAAATCAGGCAGCAAAATCAAGGTAGTGAGGTTTCTCCCTGGATTGCCAAGGTTTTTCTTTAGCTGCAGGTTCATAGATTCATAGATTTATCAGTTTAAACATGAATAAAACTGAGCCAGCTGTGCAAGAGAAAAGTCATTTTGAAATGAAATACAGAATAATTTCAAAGTCCCCCAGCTGCATAGACCAACCCACAACATGTCATTCATTATCTGTGTGTACCAAGTAATTGTATTTCAGGATCCCACATGGTAAATTTGATGTTGTATGTTGGCATTAACAGATGAGGGAGGCACAAGGAGCATTTCTGGAAAACCAGAGAGCTCAGTGAGATGTTTTGTGAGCTGAAGGCAAAATGAGTTGGGTGAATTGGTTAATGCGTTACTTTATGGTGTTATTAAGAAGTGTTGAGTCGTATGTGCTAAACTCATTTTTTGTGTTTTCTCTCTTCCCAGCTGCATTCCCTGACAGGTTCTGTCTTCTGCAAACCATGCCCTGAACCAAGGGCTTCCCCACCCCCAAGAGAAATGCTTTTACCATTCCTTGGAGAAGGAGCAGAGCAAAGTCTGGGGCAGCATCAGAGCTTGGCATCAGGGCAACCTCTCAGCATCTGCACATGTGGGTGCCACTACCCCACAGCAAGGGGCAGAGTGACCCAGGACTGTGCCTGCTGTAATGAAAGAGGGGACAAATAAAGCCATGGGGAGTGATGAGATTGTTCCTCATTGTCAGAAGCCAATGAAGTCAAAACAGACACAGAAAGGTTTCATTAGTCCAGTTTTTATTCAAATTAAATGACGGGGAACTACAGTGTGATTTTCTTTCATCATATAAATATGTCAGTGAAGAATGTTTCTTGAGTCGTTCATTGCACTGGACAAGACAGCTGTCAAGAGAATTACTTTGCAAAGTCCTTTGTCCTCCACACATGCAAAAAAAAAATCTTTAATTTAAAAAATGAGTTTAAACAGTCAACCAACTTGATACAGTATACTGTCAGCTACTGAACCAACAAAGTCTGGTTTACAAAACCAAAACATTTCACACCCAGGTAAATTATTTCACAATCATTCATTACCCTTGAGGGTCTTTATACATAAAATACACAAATTAAAATTATCAATATTTATTTATTTATTACTGTCACTGTAGAGGAAAATAATTTATAAGCCCATAAACAAAGGTAAGGGCAGATGAAAAAAAGTGAATGAGCCCATATTCAGACCCTAATGTCTAGCACACTCCCAAACCCTGCAGCTTTGACCAACAATTTATGCTCACATGAAAGTGATTTTTGGGCATGATGTGGGCAAAGGGGGAAACTGCTTTGCTAATATATGAATAATGAATCCTAAAGGTTAAGACTGAGCTGCATTCATTTGTTGAACCGTCACACTAGCTTGATGAGCAGCATTCATCTGTTGAGCCATCACATTGGCTTGATGAACAGGCATCACACCTCGCTGGATATTAAGGATTTTGGTCTCCAAACAATGTAAACCAGAGAACAGTATTAAGCTTTCATGGTGGTGACATGCAAACACTGCCAAGGGTGTTTATGGTAATTACTTGTTGTACACATCTATAAAAAGACACTGTTTGGATAAACTGAATGAACAGAAAATTGATTTTAATCACCCTCAATTTATCTATTAGGCACCAATGGAAAAGATGGACTTTAATCAGACTTGTTTAAACAACAGATTGCTTGAGGCATTGCAAACCCAGCAGGGTGTGCACCACACTTGATGCTATTGGGGTTGGGGCTCATCCTGGGGTGTTTTTCAGCAAGAGCAAAGCCCTTTTTAGGAAACCCAAGGCCAGAGTCCCACAGGGGGTTGAGCACAGGGTGCCCCAAAAAGAGATTACAACAAAAAGTGTTCATATTCACAGAAGACCAACATGAGGAAGAGGTCCAAGTTCGGTCTGTAAAGCTTTTAGTAAAACTCCTGCAATAATTTGTCTGATTTTGGCATCCTGGGGGGTTGTGCCCAGACTGTTGTGGGCAGAGTATCTCTGTCTTCAAGCAGCGCATGCAGGAGCCAAGAAACAGAACCACCAAGTGATAGCTTGTTCCCCAAACTGCCCAGGAGCCAAACTCATGGCAAAAATTAAATCAGGGTATTGAAATCATTGTAAAATAACCAATAATCTAAGAGCCTACTGGTGACTGAGGTAATGGGTTTGAATTTGTTCCATAATGTGGAGCCCAGTGCTGTCCTTCTTACATTAAAACCAACACAACAGCTATCCCAGATCTTTCTTACAACATGGCATTTCTTGTGCAGAGAACATACAGAGTCACACCTACACCACAGCCAGCAAAAACCACTCTGGAGTGCATGAATTAGATCCAGAAATGTCATTGAATACCATAAAAAGCAATCCAAAAATTATTTTAAATTGTCTTATAAAAATATTTACAGTAAAATTTGTTAGTGCTAATGCTACGTTTTCAGTCCTAGAAAAAGGCAATCTGTAAAGGATCTGGCTCAGGTGCTCAAAATGAACAATACAAACACGAAACCACACACCAAAGACAAATTCCAAAAATATTTTGGGGGTGGGGGGGTACAGCTGGTTCATCACATGTTACGGTTGTTCGTATTGCATAGCTGGAAACGAGGTCACTTGACTTGCATAACACTGCAACGTTTGGGAAGGGAGGGAGGAAATGTGTCATTTGCCATCCAGGAGCACTGGCTGCAGCTGGGAACAGCATCACTCATCCCTGGCAAGGGCTGTAAGTCCTAGCCCTGTCCAGCAGGCCACAGCTCTGGGCCAGCACTGGGCACAAGTGCCATTTTACAAGAGCAGAGAACCACCAAAACCTGTTTTCCTTACGAGCAAGGAAGCTTTATGAACAGATGGATAGCAGGGGATAAAAGTATCCCACCTCCAGATATGCCCACTTCTCACATCTGACAAACACAGCAATTTGCAACCTTGCACCTCTCTAGCAGTACCTACCAATTTTTATCTCCAGCCCACATTAACTCATAGTCTCTGGGTTATATTTGCCTTTACTCCAGTGAAGCCAGAGGTGTGAGAGTGTTGGCTGGGACCTGTTCCCAACTGTTGAGCTGCAGTTGGGCTGTACAGTAGCTTATAGAGGAGTTTAGTTAGCTTTATGTCTATACCAGACCTAACAAGGGCCAGGTGTGCCCAAATGCTTGTCCAGGCCTGTCCAGTCACCTCCACCTAACAAGAGATGGTATCTCAGACTGAAATGCTTTGTCTGCCCCATTTTATCCTTTATTCCCAAGCTGCATGGAAGGGAACCACCTTTTGGGCCAGTGAATTTGAGTCTGTTCCAGCTGGGGCCTCATCACCTTCCTTAGGGCACCATAAACACACATCTCAGTACTCTGATCCAAAGGCAGCTGCAGTCAGGGCAACATTCCTACTGGGAAACATTCCTACTGGGAAACATTCCTACTGGGAAACATTCCTACCAAGGTACATTCCTAGCAGCCTCAATGGCTTTTACAGTAAGCAGCACCTCACAGGAGAGCAGCATGTCACACTATTATTTTGGCACGTTTCGCTGCAGATTGCAAAACTCAAAGCAAAAGTTTTAAAGGGTATTATGGAAAAGATTATTTTTCTTTTTTTTTTTAATTACTATATGCAAGACCTCTGAGCTTACATACAGTGGAAGGGTAGACATAAGGAGTAGCAATGCCTTTTCTTTAAACAGTTTGCCCTTGTTTGTAAAAGCAGCAACATCCAAAGAGGAGATGGAGCTACCTCACATTTCCCATGAAGGGAATGCCAGCCCCTCTGCAGGGCAGTGACACAACACAGGCAGGGGCTGCTTCCCCCACAATGGACAGGCACTCATCTTACAAGGACTACGTATTTACAGAAGCAACCCACTCCTCCACAAAAGCAGCACAAGATAATGCAGCTTAGATACCTCTGAAATAAATTTTTAAGTATTTTTCTTTTCTACTGTCAAAGGTCACATAGAGCAGATCTATGGAGACAGAAACCAGCATTACAACACTGGACAGCTGCCCACAACAAAAAGCCTCAGCTGATCTACAAGGGGAAAACAAATGAAAAAGCCCCAAACAAAAAAAAAGTGTAAAGAAAATATTTTTCTTCTCTAGTTCCCTTTAGCTGGGGAACTTATGGGAGCTCAGCTCTGTGTGCAGAAACATGTCAGAGCTCATAGGGAGATACAAAAAGGTATTTTAAAGTCAAACATCTACTTAAACAAAAAACTTTTAGAATTTGGTATATAAGCAAGACAGGTCCCTTACATCTGAATCTAGATTTGTCTGTTTTGAATAATCTTATGAGTTCTTCATACTAATAAAGGAATGCTTTCAGTAAGGGCAAGACTAAAATAGCAATTACAGTGACAGTGATTAGTTAATCTCCATGCTCTGGAAGCATTAAAACACTGCAGGTATTTTACTTGGCTCATTAATCCCTCCCTGCTTGGGTGACAGAGGGCTCTCGCTGTATGGAATGTCTCTACATTAATGGCACCATAAGCTATCTTTTTAACATCTAAACACTCTGTTATGAAATGGCATTGAGATGCTGGACAGAGCTAGAACTGAAGATCTCAGCACAGCTGAAACGTGTGGGTTGGGAACATTTTCTCTTCAAGCAACATTTGTTTCACAGGAGCACTAAAGCCCGTGGGAGCAGCATGTGTCGCGTGGGGCTGTGAAGTTCAGCGTGGCTCAGGCGCGGAGCCCTCGGCCCCGGGGAAGGCACTGCCCAGCAGCTCCTGTCACGCACAGCACACAGCATTCATGGCAAGTAGAAAAACCACATGGTGTTTATTTCCACAAGCATGTCAGGGATACATACAGCAGTCCAGTGGCATGTACAAACGTATGACTGAGACGGTGTCACACTCGAGCCAGACCACCCTGTTCCAGTCCATTTCTGCTGTTTTTCTCTATTGGAACTCAGAATTTTCCACTGCCAGTATTAAAGTCCACCCTCCAGGCACAGTGAGTAAGTAGTTCAACCAACGATGTGCACGGAGCATCAATGGGGAAGAAATCCAGAAACATTCATTTTTACTCACATGCCCAAACGTAGCAGTTTTGTTTCACACAAGAAATTCTGTGCCTGCAGTCCAAGCACAGTGTTTATCTCAGGACACATGCCATCGAGAAGAACAGCTGGTTGCACCACAGATAACAAGCAACACCTCGTGTCTAGCATGGAACACGTCCCCAGAGGGATTTTCACTTGGCTATGCAATCCACTGTGGAGTGGATGATGCTTGCAACGTATCACTTGTCATGCTAAGACATTAACAGCAATGAGATGGGTCAAGTCAGAGGTCAGTCATCTTCCCAACACCACCTAGCTGGATCCACTTCACTTCTGCTCCTCACATTGGCTCGATTGTATGTCACAAGGGTTTGTGAATCACAGCCACACCTGTTGTAAGAACAGACACAGTTATGGTAGGAGCAGCTCCTGGGTTGCCACACGGCTACAATCATCCTGCAAAACCAAAAGCCAGCACGAGGGGAGGATCTACCACTTCTGTCAAAGTTTCTTCTACTGAAATCAACATAAAACATATAAAAAAAGTAAAATTAAATCTTCAGGGGGCACAGCCCTCAAGTTTACAGATGACCCCACTGCTGCCCACTCTCCCACTGCCTGTTTACCTGCATAACTCCTCCCCGTGCTCATGCTGGTTGGCAACAACGTCCACTTGTCTGTGCTGGGGTTGTAGTATTCCACCGAAGCCAAATTGCAGGAACCATCATCGCCTCCCACCACGTAGAGGAGACCATTCACTGCACACACACCTCAAAGCAGAGCACAGATGGTGAGACATGGGCTAACTCATCCCCCACAGCATGCTGCTGCCACATTCCGATTCATTCCCAGGCAGATCACTCAACTACCATTTTTATCTTTTACAACGCTGATCACATACACCACAAGCACACAAATTGAAAACCACCCACAGACAACTGAGCCAACCACCACAGAAAGGCTTATTGTGGTTACCTGCATTTCTTCTACACATATTCATGTCTGCTACTTGCTTCCAGGTGTTTGTCCCTGGGTCGTAGACTTCCACACTCTTCCTCACCAAGGGCCCGTCGTGGCCCCCGGTGGCGTAGAGCAGCCCGCTGAGCACACCGACACCTGCCAAGCACAGCCAGGTCAGCCACAGCACAGGGACAGGGCTGCACGTCCCTGGTTCTCCTACTGGGCATGGCCTTGGCCTCTCCAAGGCACTTCCAGAAACATGGGCCACATGTGCATCAAGATCGCCAGGCACGTGGCCAACTCTGCACCCACCCACCCTGTGGCACTACAGCAGCCTGCACAGTAATCCTGGCAGATGTCCCCTCCTAGGAAGCTGTCAGGCTATCCAAGATCAGCACTCTAGTCCCATGACATTCCTCTGCCTTTATTCCATCTCTTTACACAGACTTGCTCTCTGCCTCCCACCCCACCTTGTTTCCATCTGCATGATATTTTCTGCAAGGGGGCCCTCTGCTTTTAGACTGATTCCCCCTTTCAGAACTTCTACTTTTGTTTTTCCTGCTGCCATTGTGCCACATGATGATCTTCCTCTCCTCAATAACTCACAGCTCTTGAAGCTGCCACTTGATTCCTCTCTTCCCACTCCCACCCCAAAACCTGGCAGCATTGGTACAGACAAGGTGCCTCCAATGCCACCTTCTCAGCCATTTTTGAAGGCCCCTGGCCAAATCTCTGGGAATGACAGGGGTCTTAAAGCCACTTCTGCCTAATATTAAGTAAATTAGTTAATTAAAATGTTCACCAATCCATGAGAGTTAAAACTTCCAGGAACATATCTTCGTTAATAGGTTCAAAGGCCTCTATTAAAATTAACAAGGCGGGATGTTAGTAAAACAGAAACAGATCTGAATCACATCATTTCAACCATGGGCATTAACCAGTGTGCAGGGAGGAGAGGAGCCCTGCCAACCTGATACCAACAGGTTTTTGACTTGGTCCCTGTGCAAGGATATTTCCTGGTCAGGAAAGGAGAGGACAGGAACAGCTGCTGAGCCAGAGAACAGGCACCTCCCAGGCTCTGCAGCTCCATCAGGAGCATCCCCATCTGGGGACAGGAACATAGGTCTAACACTGTCACCTCTCCCTTCTCCAAATCATCTTAGCTTGCTGCTGCTGGGTTTGGTTTTGGCCAGCTGTCTCTCACTGTACCAAGAGGTGCTGAAATCCCAACATAACATTGGGATTCATGGTTCACAGCAGGCAAACATATAATTAATCTCTGACATAAATAAATGGCCCCACCTTCCTGGGCCACATCCCTGGTGAGGTTGACATACTTCAACATGCATGACTTGGGAAGAGCAGAAAACATCCAAATGTGTGTCCTGGCTCCTGAGCTGTAGCAGGTGTCTCCCAGTTCACTGGGAAATGGAAAGTCACTTAACTGCAGCCTGGCATTTGATTATATGCAGCTGTTAATGGAAATTTTATACTTGTAAGAAATAATTTAATGAGTAAGCTTATTTAGCAAGTAAGAGAGTAAAAGAGTCGGAAACACTCAAGCTTTTTAACATGAAGCTGCCTCCTTGCGCAGTGAGAGAGACAGGGTACACAGGGACAGGACATCCCTGCCAGCAGGGAAAGGGAACCCCCCAGCTGGTCCAGCAAACCCTGGGAGTGTTCAAAAAATGTGCAGATGTGGCACTTGGAGATGTGGTTTAGCAGTGAACATTGCAGTGCTGGGTTAACTGTGGGACCTGATGATCTTAAAGGTCTTTTCCAATCTAAAAAAATGTATGATTCCACAAAACCTGGGCAGCACCTGCACATCCCCACAGCCCCAGTGCCTGCAGGGACTTGGGATGGCTCCAGGGGCTGGGGACACCTGTCCTCACCCCCACTAGATGTCAGCATGGGGACAGCAGTGCAGAGCACGGTGCCGTTTCTGGAGCTGTACAGCAGATTGTGCTGCGGCACCGCTGCTGGCCACTGCACTGGGCAGAACCCTCCTGTCCCTAATGGAGGGGCATCTGGAGGACAACCAGAGCCTGAGGAACTCAGCTTTCAGGTGGGGAACAGAAAACTGCAAAGAAATTTGGCAGGGGAGTACGAGAATTCCTAACAAAGGGCTTGCTACATGTAGAAACACTTGTAAAGCAGCACTCGGAGCAGAGTGTTTCCAACAAAGACAACTCCCTAAAACAGGTAGGTTGTAGAGAGCAGCCTCAAACCACCCAGCTCAAAAGGGAACTCCCACCACAGTTTAATCTGCAGGGTCATTTCAGCCCCAAAGAGCAGCCCCCAGGCTTGGCTGTGGGCAACTGCACAATTTAACATCAGGGACATGGCACACACTGAGCAAGACCCACAGTGACAAATTCCCATTCACCTGAAGATGATTTTAAATGCAGTGGTTAAGAGCTCTTATCCCTTTCCGAGAGGAACAATCACAGAGAAGACAAATTGCTACCTGGCCCAAGATCAGTAGGAAATTAGAAACCATCAAGACTAGAATCCAATCCTTTTACAACAGGTCCTTTCCTCTAATTCTCCAGATCACCAACTCTTGCTAACAAAAAATTAACTAAAAACTAGCTAAGCAGGGACAATCTGAGATGAATTTTGTTATCCTACACATCACCCCATGTGCAGATGCATTTTGTGTTGCAAAGCACCCGCTGGGTGCTTGCAGGAAGATCCAAAATGAAAATTCATCTGAAACCCTACGGTGATAGAGGAGAGGGAGGTGCAGCTTGGCTTTCCTGTGCCCAGCTGTGTCTGCAGCTGGCGTGCACTTGTAAGCCCAGCAATGCCAAATCCCACTTTCCCTTGCTGTCTGTGAGCAGGGAAGGCTGTGCCCATGCTGCAGTACCTGCCCCGCTGCGCCGCGTGCTCATGTCAGCCACGTAGGTCCACTCGTTGGTGGCGGGGTTGTACTGCTCCACCGTGCTAAGGCACTGCCGCGACGCTCCGTCATAGCCCCCCACGGCGTACAGCTTCCCTGCAACACACACAGCCACGGCTCAGCCACCTGCCACAGCCCGGGGGACAGCTCCTGCCTTGGGGTGGCTCCAGGGGACACGCCTGAACCTGCTGCCATGTCTGGGGAAAAGCCTAGCAAGGGCATCTGGAGTGGATCGCAGGCAGGAGTGACTGTAACGCTGTTGAGCTGTCAGTAACAGTAGGATACAGCACAACAGCTTCAGCAGAAGCCACAGCCCGGAGGATTTTCCAAATTACTTGTTGGCCCAGGAGAAGAGGCATTATCAAAGTGTGTTCTATTGATGGAGGGTTCCCCCCATTCAGGTGTGCTGTCAAAGGCTGTCACTGCACATTAATTACAGCATCACATGAGCAATAAATACAAAATAGCTTCTTATAATAATATAATACCTGCAAAGAAACCTAGACCTGATTTTGTAGAACCTGGGGCAAATTGAAACCCAGAGATGCTGCGAGTGCAGCTGAGGCCAGCTGGACACAGCTGGTCACTCGTGCCCAGTGATGACAGCAGAGGCTACTGTGTTGTGAGGGTCTCCTGGAGTATGAACACACACTTACTGAGACCAGAGAAGCACAATCTGATATCATGGGACTGTATCATACGTGAAACAAGGCAGATGCTCTACTATGTCCTCTGTTCCCAGGCCTGACTGATCCTCTCCCCTTGTCTCCCTGTATCATCTATCAGCTTGTTTTGCATTTAAGCAGTTAACTCTCTGGGCAGAGAAGGATTCTTCTTGCTAAAGCAGCCAGCACAAGGCATTCTTGTTCAACCTAGGTGCTACAATAAACAATTAAAAAAGCTCAACAAATATGTAGAAAAAAATCTAACCTATTTTTTTCTACAAAAGCTAGGAATTATACCAGTTCTCAACCCATGATAGCAGGGCCAGGCCATGAATGAGCTGTGCAGATCTTTGCATGCACAAAACTCCCACCAGCAGTTATCTTCAGCTTTAGGCTTTTGCATCCTCCTGTTTCTGGATGTTTGCAAGGCTCCAAGAACAGACTGGCTCTTTTCTTTCTCCCTCAGGCACACTCATGGCCTCCTTCTGCATCTTCCTGTCTCTTGGAACATTTCACTTACTTGTGCTATTGTCCTGCCTGGTATTTGTCAATGAATCAGGCAAGAGTGCCAGTCCAAGCAAGACAAGATTGATTTCCCCAGCTGGCATAGATTATTAGGTATTTTCAGTATATTTCAGATCATCTGATCAATTTTTGTCAGATTCAGATGAACCCTGTGGATTAACTGCAGGCTGCAGCTGGTTCCCTACACCAGTATGATCAGCTCTTGTGCCCATCACATGCCCTCATTATTTTTATCATTGACTTCAACATATTCAACACTTACTTGTGCTTTCAAACAAACCAAAGGAAAAGGATTTCATGAGTCTCCAGTAGAAAATCTGTCCATAGAAATGCCTCTCTCAGGTCCAATACTTTTTCTGCATTCAAGCCACTTGAATAAATTCCAATGACTGACAGCAGCCCAGCACTTCCCAAGCATGGGCCAATTTTGAAGGAGGTGCTTCTTAAACATGCAAATTTAAGTTAATGACCACTATTTAGTCTGATTTTATCTCCCTTCTTCTTCTCACAAACACATTTCACGTACATTAACATATTCCATGTACTTCCCACTCAAAAAGGTCAAGCCAAAGCACTGTAAAGAATGGTTTACATGATTTATAATAAGGCTTGTGCCAAGGCTGCTCTGCACTGCACTAACTGGGAAGTGCTATGCCACACTAAAGTTCAAATAATGCCTTTCACTTCTTTCAGAATAGATTTTGTAAAGGAAGAAACAGTTCCTACTTAAACTTTTCATTGTCCTGAGACCAAGCTGCTCAGTTCCAGCTCCCTTAAATCTGGTGCTGAGACAGAGGTGCCAGCAGCTGCCACCATCCTCCCAGGCCTCCCACCTCACTCCGAGCTGCTGCAGCACCGGCCTTTGCTATCGCCAGCCCCTGCTCGTTCAGGAACCATGGCACAGCTGTGCCTGATGTCAATAAACACAGGTTTTAGTATTCCTGCCAAACCACCAGCTTGGGGCTGTGGGACAAACCCTGTTCCTGTTTCTCTGGCTGAGCAGATTTTCTGTGATGGGTATTCAATCCACGCAGCGTCTGTCAGCAGCAGCAGCATCCACTGCACAGCAGCTCTGGCTTTCACCAGCCAGAAGCAGCCCAGGAAGAATTTGGATTCAAAGAAACCTGCACACACCTAATTGCATTCACAGGAGGCATGGGCTAGTCTGATACAGGTTCGAGGCTCTTGGAAAGCTAGACATGATTTTTCACCAAGATAAAGAGGAGAATGGAAACAGTTGCAGCAATTACATCATATAAAATCAATCTTTCCAAACTGGTCTAGGGAACAGTTCTTGCCATTCCCTCCTACTGCACTTAACCATTCAGGCTTCTGTTTGGCACAGTAACATTTGCTTGGTGGAAATGGCTGCTGATTTTCTTACCCTCCACAACTCCAACTCCAACACTGCTTCTTCTTGTGTTCATGGGAGCCACAAAAAACCACTCATTGGTTTTATAGCTATAGGCCTCAACTGATGCCAGACCTAGTTAAAAAGGGGATACACAGGTTTTCTAATTAAAAAAAAAGAGAAGAAAAAAAGATTGGTGTTGCACTTTCATCTGCCTTCCACCTCCTCCCAAACCCGTAATTCCCACCACGCTCCTGCAATCCCACTTCCTAATCCCTTGCCTTTCAGGCTAGGACCAGCATGTTAATGCCACTTCTTCAATGGCTGGGAAAACTGCTACCCCATCACCCCTACCCTGGGACTGCTGCCTCTCCAATGTGCTGAGGACACCGAGGTGAGCAGAGTCCAAATTCCAAGCCCAAAAGCCCCACATCCTTTCAAGCATTACAAAATGTCCATGCAAAGGTTTAAAAATTCCCCCAGACCCTGCTGCAATAGTTAGTTCAGGGCTTAACCAAGTGGCAGAGCTTTACAGCAGAGGCAGACGTGTGAATCTAAACACGCAGATATGCCAAGACAAATCCCAGGCACACACACCCTGAAAGATTCCTTGCTAGTGTTTTATTCATGTTGCTATGAAAAATTTAACTGAAACAAGGAAAAATCCCTTTTCAGCCCTGATAAAGCATAATCATACAGAGAATGAGGCTGAAAGAACTGTATCGCTAAAGAAAATAATAAGGATGAGATTCTCTGCAATTACTGACGGGTCGGAGCACGCACACGGGTAGTTCCAACACACACCAAACCCCATTTCTGGCTCCTCCTCTACAGAGCCATAGAGGAAGGGCACAGGATCCTCTCTAAAGCTCTGCAATCCCTGCAGGGTCTGTGGAAACACTTTTTTCAGGTCAGGCACTGCCTGTTTTTCGCCCGGTCACCTACCAGTGCTGCCATCAAAGCCGCCCACAGCGTAGAGGAGGTCGTTGAGCACGGCGGCGCCCAGCGTGCTGCGCCTCTCCTGCATGCTGGCTATGGACGTCCACTGGTCCTTGACGCCGTCGTACACGTCCACCGTGCGCACCCGCAGCGACCCGTTAAAGCCCCCCACGGCGTAGACATTGCCAGCCATGAACACCACGCCTGAGCAAAGAGGAGAGGGGTTTTACAGCAAACACCTTGGGAAGTGTGAAGGATCTGTCTGGATCCTGCTCGCCTGCCCGGGTGTGAGAGGCAGCGGGGAAGGGCAGAACACGGGCAAGGCTTTGGCGTTTTCCGCAGGTTAACGGTGTTGAAGTCGAGCGTGATAAAACATATGGGAGGTGAAACGCACATGAAAACATGGCAGCAGCATAAGGCACAGATGGAGCTCACACCTGAATGAGTAATTCTGTGAGCCAGAGGGAACACCAAATGGTGAGCCACATTCACAACCCTGTCAGATGTTTTCAGAGGAACATTCCCAACTTAAAGATCTGCTCTCCATCACCCACTCCTCCGCACCAAGAGGGACTGACTCAGCTCCTTTGATTTTTCACGAGGAAACCAGCAAGAAAAACTGGACCCCTGTAGGCTGCCAAGACAGCAATGGGGGAGGAGAAGGGGAAACACTGATGGGAAACAGCCAGGAGAGAGAGAGAGATGATAAAGGGGAGACAGTGGCTATGGAGGGCTGAGAGGCAGGAGCAACCCCACTAGAGAGCAGGACATACACCTGAACAAGAAGGGAAAGGTGTCTGTAGAGGAAGAGGAAAGAATGGCAAAAAGAAAGAGCTGCTTGAGGCCAGAGGAAGCTAAAGGGAGGACCAAGGACATCCATCCAGTGCTGAAGAGCTGCACTGGGGAAACAAAGAAGGTTGCAGCAAAAATTCCCTTTACCTGCTCTGCATCTCCGTGAGGGAAGCTCAGCAACCTGATCCCACCGCTCCTCCTCAAAATCATAGCACTCCACACTGCGAATGGCTTTGGGTGCCTGCCCACCCACCACAATCATCACCTGCAGAGGGAAGAGAAGAGCTAGAAAACCTCACACATGACCCTGGGCAGCTGCTCTCTACAGAGAAACCATCACCACAACCTGATCAAGAGCAGCTGCTAAAACATGTGCTGAAGGCCAGCCAGAAGCCTCTGCAGGGAGAATTATTTCAGGCAATTATATTTCAAGGGGGAAAAATTTCTCTCCAATTTAATGCATGCTAAGCATGGCCACCCCATTTACCCTTCCTCCCTGTGTCCAAGGTGGGCAACTTGCCCAACTTCTCCTTGAAATACAAAACCTTTCGGCACCACCGCATACCCAAGACTCACTGCAAAAGTATTTTTAAGTGAAAGAAGATTCCAGCACAATTTCCAGGGGCGGCCCACTGTTTAGTCATTATCTCCATGGTGGGGCTAAAAATAATCAATGCCACTTAGCAAATAAAACGTGACAGCTGCGCTGCCACCTGCGGGGAAGGTGACACTCAGGGAAATCACCAGAACTGCTACAACCCAGGGGGTCTGGGCTGCTGAAGGATGTGATTTGTCAGCTTCATTAAGGCTTCTGGCTGCCACAGGTATTGAAGCAAATGCAGGAATTAAACCCTGAGTTCATCACAGGTAGGGAATAGCTATGTCAAGGTGGACAAGAGCAACCTCAGGAGCAGAAGAACCACTCTGCTGGGTCAGCCTAAGGGGTCATCCAGCCCCAGCCTCCACTACCAGCAACAGCAAGGGGTGGACACTGGTGGGCAGGTGAGAAGACCAGAAGAGCTGGGCAGCATGCAGTATGGTCCTTCCCAAATCTGCCCTCTCTGCTGCCAGAAGACAAGCTCCCCATGGACACCAGTGCCAGGAGCCTGCAGCTCTGCACTCGAGAATGCCCATGGCTCTGAGCCCCAGCTGGGCACTGCAAACCAACACCTGCACAGGCTTCCAGCCCCCAAAATACCTGCACTGATGAACAGCTGGACCTGCACTTTGATCAGCACACATTTCATTCAACCCTCCACACCCATCAAGAGGGAGGATTTTCTCCCTTTATCACAGGACAAACATCACCCAAGACAATCTGACAAGGCCAAGGAGCTAGAAACAAGAATATAGGGCTTCAAATATAGATAAAGAATAGTTGGAAAACTGACTTTAGCCTCTGCAAAGCAGCTGGGAGTAGCTGAGGGGATAAGATCGTCACTTGAGGTCATTCGGATAACAAACTCAACTCCACACAGGGTTGCTTTAAAAGTAGAGAGCTAGACAGCAATTTAAAGAATTTGAAGAGCATGGAAATAGTGGCCTGTTTGATCTACAAAGATGAGAACATGATATCAGAAACCAAATTAAGTTTAAATTAACAGCCTGACTACTAGTTGTGTAACAGTCTCTCATGGCAAGCTGCAGGGCTTCACACGATTACAGAATTAAGGGATTTCACAGCAGACAATAATCCCTCATCAGCAGGACCAACAGGCCAGATGAAAGTTTCTCAGTAACAGGATTGCTGAAAGATCATCACCTCCTTCCCTTTCTTCACAGTTCAAAAGAAAGGAGAGACCTGCAGAAGATTTGGATTTGTGCTCATAGGTCATGCTATAAAATATGTTGAGAACCTCTGAACTCACTGATTTGCTGTTCCTTTTATCCTTAACTACTTTAGTCCTTGAACAAGGGCCATGTCAGCCCTTCATGATACCCCCAAAGCTGTGTTCTACCAACTTCATCTCAGCAACAGCAGGCAGAAAGGACACTGACACACACTGCCACGTGCTGCAAAACCACGATTTCTCAATGAACAGTCCAGTATCCAAATATCAGAAACAGCACAGATCTCACCATCCCACAAAACAACCTCATCACTGTTTGTGCTCGGAAAAATAACACACTGTGGTTTTCATGTCTTGGAATCTCCAAATGCTTACTAGCAACTTCAGTGGCAGTCTGCTGAGAGACATTGTGCCAAACTGTGCTAATCTCTGGGGCACAGGGAAAAGTTCCTGTGGTCTTTTTTTCCTTCACTAATAAAGTGGTGGCCGAAGCATCACACACCTGTGGCATAAACATGGGGAGTAACAAGGATTATTTATTCAGTTGCTGCTTTGAGTCTATTGAAATTCACTTCAGACTTCCTGCCCACGGGGCTGGGTGCTGTTGTTTCCTGCTTTCCTGGCTTCTGATTATGGATACAGGAAATGAAGAGACACCTACTGTGACCCTTCTCAGTGGGGCTCCACGCCACCCTTACCAGGCAGCAGCAAGCTCAGCCAGCCCTCCCACGCTCCAGCGAGCCACCAAGCCACTCGTGGCTGACAAAACGTTTCAAGAGCATATATACTCCTTCCCCTAAGGGTTTATCTAAGTTTATCCAACTGAATCATGTTTCCTTGCTGGGCACAGGCAATGCCAGAAGAGGGAGTAAAACACTTCCAAGCACAATCACTGAGTTAGTAAAAAGTAACATGGCAAGTTCTCGAGTTCCTGTCAAAGACTGAAAAAGCCACCAGGAACAGGGGTGAGGTGACACAAAGTGACAAGCTCAGCTTACCTTTGGCAAGCTAACGGGAGTCCTTGGCTTTGTCCTGGGATTCTTTATTAGCTGCCTTTGATCCAGAGGAAGCAAATGGTATTTCATGGCTTCAATAAGGAAATCTTTACAGGTGTTGTTATTCTTGATTAAAGCTTCTTCTTCAACTGTCTGAGAACATGCACACACAACAAAGAACATTTACACTGGCACAGGTCACAAGGAGTTTTGTGAAAAGAACATAGAACCTGGAATTTCCCTTCCAATGCACCAACATTTAAAAAAAGTAATGCAGGAGACAAACACAGACTTTGAGGTCTTCCCAAAGAAGCACGTGCAGTAACATCCAAGCTTGTCACTTTTTTCCAAGATCACCTGCAAGAAGTGAGTATTTTATCACCCTCTGCCAAACACTTGATGCAGCAGAGGAGAATTCACCAGGAGTCTGGATGCAAAGTAAGCAATTTCTTTTATCTGAATCAGAATTTTTAAAGAGAGGCGGTATATTTTATTCCCTCAGAAGATACAGATGAAAGAAAACCAAAACCATGATGGGTTCATCTTGTGAATACCAATTTTATACCAATTGTATTGATTTTTTTTAGACAGATGATAAAAGCACAATAGTCAAAGAGCCCATATGCCAAGCCTTCTTTGGGAATTCTCAGCTCATTATCTAGGCCCATATCCCAGGAATTAATTTATGAAGAACAATCTCCAAGTCAGACTGAGTCAGAGAGTGCCTTCCCTGCCAGCCACACAGATCCATATGTATGCACAGTACATGTCGTAAACCAAAATTACCATACATTATTTGTTCCCATTATGATGTTTTGCCTGTGCATGAGATAAAAAGCTGCATGAGCTTGTAACAACACCACCACTTCAGTACTTTCAGGATGAAAAATCATGAGATATTAACTTATCAATGTCTGCCCTAGAAGGGCAGGAGCTCTGCTTTCAGCATTCCTGGCAGAGCAGGGGTCCCATTTACAAGAAGGCTCCTGGAGCACACATTGATTTCAGAGTCCGCTCAGTTTTTGCTTTTATTCTTCTGTTTACAGACTCAGCAACAGACCAAATTACCTGTCTCAGACACAAACAGCCAAGCCACTGATTAAGGAGCAACCAGCAGCTTAAGTGCAAGTATTAATGACTTCTTTACAGACTAACCTGTACCAGGTAATCTCTGGGCAAAAGGGGCAGGCGAACATGTTCCATCAGCTTAGCCATGTGCTCTAAGCGAGATTCCTTCTCATAATTTATCCAAGAGATAACTGCTTCAAAGACCTACACAGATAAAGTACAATTAAATGGGGAAAAGAGAACTTCCTTGCAGAGTCAAAATCAGAAGCATGGTGATTTTAGAGCATCGAAGGAAGGGGGTGCAAGATCTCTATCAAACAGATGAAAAAGCTGTGACTGCACAGAGCAGCACTGTAGCAAAGAGCTGAGCTGACCACACAAGCAGCTTCTAGATGTGCTGTATCACTCCCAGAGCTAAGTGCATGTCCAGAACAATCATACACCTCTTGGACATTAGTACTGGAAGGCAGCCAGGAAACTTAATGAGCCTGCTGACATTTGTACGGGGCATTCATGAAATCAGCCACAACAATTACTCCTGATAACAGAGATCTCCCTCCTCCAGGAGCCTGGCCACACAGTAAAGTCACTATGCTCATATTTAATCACTGCCCCAGCTCCACCAGCCCCTAGAAACCAAGAAGTCTTGAGGACAAGTTCCCCAGACACTCAGGGCAAGCCCTGCCTGCAGCCATGGAACCTCTGCACTGCGTGCATTTCACTGCTAAAAATACTCAGATATTCCAGCTGGGGAACAAGGGCACACTGGGCTTCTGGTCTGAACCAAAATCTAGTTTTACTTCCAGATCCAGCTGGTTGAGATAAGCATCCAGAGCTGGAGTCCATGACGAAGTGCTCACAAACAGCCCCATGGGCAGAGCCCTGGCGACGCACAGGCACGGGAGAAGCGTCCTATGTGGGCTCCTGTATGAATATGCATGTGCTTATATAACTGTGAGCCTCACTCACAAAAGAAAGGCCTAAAAATGTCACCAGGAGTGGGAAAGGCTTCCTGAAACACCCAGCAAGGCAGGAAGAGGGGCTGATGCAGTCTCAGATGCTGCACAGCAGGATCTGGATCACTGCAGTGGAGCTTCCCCACAGAGAGAGAATTAAATTCTGACACATAACTCTACACATAACATCTACAGGCAACACTCCCCAAGCCCTCTCACTGCCCAGTTACTCAGGGGGGCAGAGCAGAGACTCTGTCTGTACTGTGCTTCCCCCAGAAGCATCCCTGGCCCTTCCCTCCTGCATGCCAGGCAAGCACCCTTGGTTTCAGCTTCCCTCCGGGGTCACCAAACGGTCAGCCCAATTTGCACAGATAATTATTTCTTTTTTTCCATCCCTTGCATCACTCCCCAAGAAACCATTTTGTTTGGTCCAAGGTCACTAATTTGACAAAATCAATCAAATAGGAGGGCACCATCTTTCAGTCCCCAGTTGTTGCTGGTAAGTGTACTTGCAGGAGCCTTGGCAGACACATCCTGCCATGAAGGAGATGCAGAGCAGGAAGGGGTTTCTTCCTCTAAGGATAAACTATATACTTTTAAAATGCAGTAAAGCACCAGCCTGATTTCCTGTGCCAACAAAGTTCCTGCTGAACTGTTTGGAATTCAGGACACTGCAAGGAGGATTTAAGCAACACAACAGGGAACAGTGTAATCAAACCACAGCAAATGCTGAGGAGAATAACTACTGCAGAGCCTTTAAGTATTTTAAAATTAAAATAAGTAAACAAACAAACATTTTAACTTTGGCTATGAGGCCTTTAAAGTAGAAACTGGATTGTTGTGAGATTTTTTTACTTGCAAATGAGCGTGGAAGGAGGATAAAGCAAATGTTTAGCCAACAAACAGGCTTTTCATTAACCTCTTCTGCACAAAGGCTGAGCTGCAGAACAGGTCACAGGGCTGGGACATACCCATCTACAGGTCAGGAAGACAGTGAAAAAGCCTAAAGGAAGGTAAGGCACTAGGAATAAGCTGCTTCCTCAGTGCTGGAGTCCACTCCTGAGTTAGGCAAGCACTGATGTTTCCCTGCTGTGCCTACTCTAAAAATAACTTTTTTTTAAAAAAAGTCAGAGTCTGGCACCTTCTATTGGCTCTGATTCCTAATTTCAGAGAAGGGGAAAAAAGGCTTTAACCCAAGACAGCAATATCTCTATTTAAAGGCCACATCTGTTTCCAGTCCTGCCGTGCCCTCCCTCCACACACCGTGCCCGCTGCAGACCCCGAGCAGCTGCTGCCGCTCCCCCAGGACTCTCCAGCCAGGCAGGACCTGCTGCCAGGGTGGGATGGATGAGGCAGTTGCCCACACAGATTGATTTAGAGCTGAGATAGCAGCTGGCACCTGCCTGGCTGCAGGAATGGTCCTGAGCTTGGGAGAAGTAAAATTCCCACTCTAAGGAGCAGAAGGGTAAAAGCCTGGAATATCCCCTCTCTGCATACTGCCTAAGGAAAGAGCAAGCCCAGATGTTTTCCCAGTCTCTTCAGCCAAAAATCCATTTGTTAGAGACTCCCAAGAGTGAGAACTAAACCTTGCATCAGCTTCTGCTACATGTCAGCAGCATGAGACAATGAATCAATTACCAGACTCTGTGTAGAATCCCCAATCCAAAAACCTCAACCCTTTAAAAAATTTCTTTAGACGCTGTTCTGAGTTGCCAGAAGACCATTCGCAAGTCCCCCCACACTTCATACATCTTTAGTAACTAACAAATAATTATTATTTTTATATGTATTTTTTTTTTTATCTTGCAAACAGTAAAAATAGCCAATTAGGTCAGGTACAGAAAACATTAATAAAATTCTTCCAGGTACCCTACTCAGCTATAGCAAAAAGAGCAAGCAGGGACAGCAAACCTCTGCCCTATTCTGAAAGAATCTGTGTAACTGCAAAGGCTGCTACAACAAGGGGGACAGAAGAGAAAGGAAAAAGGGGAAGAATCTTTGAGTGATGAGGAAATGCTGTCACCACTTTACAATTAAAGCAGATTTCTGTGCTAGCAGAGAATTTTTTTCGTCCTGATGGCCTAGGGGTATAAATAAGCCAAAATTGGTGAAGATATATTTTATTAGGCCAATTGGTATTAGTTGCAGGGTGACAGAGGAAGGGAAGAACACACAAATTCCTGAGGTATTCCAAGGGCAATTCTCCCTCCCTGATCCTGGCAGGACTTGGCTCTAACACCTCCCAGTGATACAGGGATGGAAATGCTCTGGGGCTCACAGGTACAGTACATGTATGAGACACAGCAAGAAGAGGAATGAGAAAACTCCTTGTGAAATCTGGCTGTGACAATTAAGCTGCCAGATTTCTGAAGTATTTTGCACGTGCATACACACAGATGTACATGTGTATGCACAGACTGGTATACACAAATATATACTTTTATATACTTTGTCTTATATATCAACATTAGCAGATAGAAAGATTAAAAGTGAGGAAAATGGCTTGTCTGTCATGAAGTTAACATGAAACAGCAGCCTACAAGTCTGTCCTCAATTTCAAACATTTCTTTGAACTCCAGCACATTTCACATTTATGTTCCATTCCCATTTTCTGCTTCTCTCCTGTTATTCAGACCTTTTGTTTTGAATGTGCAGCTTATGCTTACATTTCCTGCTACTGCCTTGCATTCTCAACAATCTTTTCTTTTACAAGTTTTTTTACAGTCAGCTAAAGAAATACTGGGTTTGATTGTGTAAAGCTCAGATGAGGGAAGGAGCATTTTGATTCCCCTGGGCGCAAGGCCAATAAAAGCTTTTGAACAATGCTGCACAGGACTGGAAAAAAGTGGTTACTAAACTTGCACTTCCCTTTGCAGGCTGCTTGGCTCAGGCAGAGAGATTCTGCTGTGAGTTCATGCTATTTGCTGTTTCCCTTCCTGGCCCTGCCCCAGCGGCACCTCGCAGCCCCCGCCAGCCCCACGCCTGCGGAAACGCGCCCGGAGCCTCCGAGTTTGCTGGCTCAGGATCAGCAGGGAGCATCCCTGTGTCCACACCTCACATGGAGCAGGACTCCTGGTGACTTTCACAGTCCCTCTGGGCCCAAGCACCTGCGTGTCTGTAGCCCAGAGGGGCTGAGCAGGAGGAGAGCACACATGAGGATGGGCAGCCCAGCCAGCAGCACCTCCTTACCCAGGTCCAGCTTCAGCCCACCCAAACACAGGCATCCAAAAAGAGCCCTGAAGTTACAGATCACACGATCCTCAAGCTCTCCTGCAGCCTCTTACAAGTGACCATTTACATTTAGGTGCATGGTTTAGTGGTGGCCCTGGCAGTGCTGGGTTAGTGGTTGGACTCAATGATCTTAAATTACTTTTCCAACCTTAATGATTCTGTGACTCGGCAATCTCCCCACAGTGACAATTTGGAGATGAGCTGAAGGACTGGAGGCACAAGCCTGTTCCCAGAAATCTGCAGCAGGTCATACAAGAAGCTCAGATTACAGAATGGGGCTGGAGTTCACCAAGCACCATAAACACTGGTCACCCTCCTCCCCAGGACTCCAGACTACACAAGGGGCACTGAATGCTTCAACCACAAAAACAATATCAACCAGTGCCTTTTCCCCCCTCTTTCATTAAATACACTGAAGATGCTAGAAAAACATTTCCTTCCTTCCTTTTGGTTCCCTTATTTTTGCTCCTTTTTGGTTCCTTTTGCTTTTGTTCTTCTATCCAACATGCAACAGAAGCAATATTCTCCCTGGCCTAATGGAATTCTTTTTTTTTTTTTTTTGAGGTTTTACAGCAGGTATTAAATGCTTTACACAACAGCAGATAGGAGTTTCCTAGTTTTCCAGAGAGAGAAAGTAGTTGGTTCTGAGCCCCAGGGGTTTTGGAGTGATATGGATCTGAGAGTCATAACTTCCTGCAAAGAACAACCAAGTGAAGGTCATTTTTATGTGTTTTTAGGATTCACATTATTTTAATTTTCCTTTCCACATGATCTCTGTTGGAGAATGGCCCCTAAGGAGCATACCATGATAACAGTTCCTGGTGTAAGATCTAGAAACATTCCAGCATTCTTACATTCACTCTTGCTATACAATTTACTGTACCTTTTCTTCAGAGGAGACTGTGAGCTTGTCACTTGATATTAAACTGCAAACCTGGTCCAGACTAAGGCTAAGAAATTCTTCTCCTAGCATCACCTCAGGGAAATGCTGCTCTGTTCAACAAATGAAAAGGGGGAACAGAAAATTATAATGAAATCCATGTTTTCAGTCAGTGGAAGCAGCACAGAATTCAGAGAACAGCTCTTGCCACAGCTCTGAGCACCCAAGACAGACCCACAGCAGCTGTGAGTGGAACACAGACAGAAACCAGCCTCAGAGCAGGATAAAGAAACCTGATGTTATTTCAAGCAGCACCAGCCCCATGAAATATTTTATAAATGATACTAAACTTTCTGAAAAAACACTGAGAATATTCCAGTGGCAAATACAGTTAAAAGTGGCAATTGAGACAAGGGCCAATGTCTAAAGTAGTAAATAACCTGGCCACCTCAGCACCCACCTTCCCAGTTTTCCCCTTTCCACTTAAGCCTGCAATTGTACAAACTTCTATTTCTCCCTTTTTTGTCTCCAGATCCCTCCATACTCTGGGAGCCACTTTAAAATAAAAAGCACATCACTGAATAGAACCTCAAACCGGAGGAATTACGCCTGAACATCATCAAATCTGTCAAGCTTGATATCTAGCCAAAAGGCACACAAAATAATCACTTCCTAAAAAATAATTTCTAGGTCAAATATGTCATTAGCCAGTTGCAGCAATTTTAGTTTTGCAAGAATTTCTTATATATACTGCCAATTTAATCTCACCTGTCATTTGCTAAGTCCCATTTATCTTTGGCTGAATAACAGAAACATGAATCTCAGACACTTTATCTGAAGCAGCTTCTTTCAGGTTCTAATTCTGTAGCTTTGAGAAGCTCAGACTCCTGTATCCAAAGAGCTCTGTCTGCCCCGAGTTTTCACATCTGCAGTGCTTTGCCTGACAAACAGCAGCACCACAGGGACATGAGCTGGTGTAACTTCCAGACAGAAGCTTTTTGGAGCCCCTGGACAGCCCCTCACCAAAGCTGATGCTGCAGAGTTGGACTCTGGACTTGGACTCCCCAGTCACAGACCCTCCTTGCTCTACTGAGGACCAAAGCCCCACAGCTAAGCCAAAGGCTCTGATTAAAAATAGCAGCATGTGGATAAAATGTAATACTCTGTTATGCTGGAAATATATATATATATATGATCTAATGAACACTTTTCACCTTAAACACTTAAGAGGCAGGAAACAGTCCCCATACAATAAGCTGGATGCATTCTGACCTCTGGGCAAAATCTCATATTCATTCATTCTGGACTTTTTCTGGCAGCAGAAAGGTATTTGATCTCTTGTTATTAGCTGGAAGCAAGTAAGAATATTTACTGATTTTAATAAAGGAACTAGTGCCTGCATCAAGAAGGCTCCTTCACCTACTAAAGTTATCCATTGGCCAGAACTCAGCATTTCTCAAGTAACAGCTCATGCATGCATGGACTCTTGAGCTTGGGGACTTCTGTCTTGATTTAAGATTGTTACATAAACAACATAGTGAAAAGAATTTTAATGGCATTTTTATTAATGGAGTTCCATTAACATTACATGGGCTGCTGTACTAACTGGGACTTATGAAGGCCAATAAAACAACAAAGCAGACCTTCTAATTGCCAAACAACCAAATAAATATACAGTGAATGCACTGCTTGTTGGGTTAAAGATTAAACAGGGCCTGGAAACAAGGATAATGAGATATTACAAGCAAGCTTTTATACAATTAACCATTCCTTCCAGGGTACCTTTTTCTCCAGGGGATAATACAGCTAGAGCAGCTGAGAAAGTTTTAGTTTTATTTGCAGGAGAATAGGGGAGGACTCAGTGGATACATTTTTATTCCACTGAGCCTACTTACAGCCCAATTAAGGACAAAATTGTTAAAAAGGAAAATGTTGCAGGACAGAGCAGGTGCTCTGGGAGACAGCAGGTGTATGTGTCACTATACAAATTATCAGAAAACAGAAAAACAAACTGGGAGAGAACTATCAGCTTCTCCCAAGCAGAGGTCAAGGGCAGCTCTGCTGGAGGAGACTGGAAAGTGCTGGGGAATTCAGAGCTTGGGGCTGGCTGAAAAAGCTTTACATTTACATTGTAGAGGAGAAATGCTGAAAGCCATTGCCTGCACCTACTTATTGCAACCAAACACATCCACTCCCAAGGAAACATGAGCCTATGCTCCCTGGGGGTAAGGGGCCACTGCTGCACAGATCAGAGCCTCAGACTGTAAGGCAGTTCTAGCTGAGTGTTCCAACACCCAGCCACAGGAATTAATTTTGCCCAGTGCCATTTATTCCCACAATGGAAATGCCCAGCAGTGCCTCCTGCTCTCCCAGGGCAGGGTCCATGGGGAGGACACCAACACACCAACACCAAGCTGTTCCACAGGCACACTGAGAGCTTGCTAGGATCACAGGAACTGTTCAGTGAGCTGAGATCCAGAGGATCAGGCTTTTTTACCTTCTAAGGCTTTTTTACCTTCTCCCCTGTGAGCAAACCACATTTCACAACTTGCAGCATCACAAGAAGTTCTAAGTCCAGAACCAAATAAAGTACTCCCTTCCTGTTCTGATACCAGAAGTCTGAAGAGACCAAGGTGCTGAGCCCTGGGGCTGCTGTAGCTGGAGGCAGGGTCAGCTCCACACACAGCCCCCCTGCCCTGCCCTCACCTGCGTAGGCGTTGGCCTGCTGCAGCAGCTCGGTGCAGGCGTGCACGTCGGCAAAAGCGCGGATGCCAAGGCAGTTCGTGGGATGCAGCTGGGACTGAAGGAAGTCACAGCAGTTTTTTCTAACATCCATCAGTTGCAATAAACTAGCAGCTGGCAACAAAACCTGCAAAGGCACAAGAGGGGAACGAAAGTGAGCAACAAGGAGTGGTTCACAGCTTGCACAAATTGGAGGCAATTCCCCTTCAGATGGGGACACACCCCTGAGGGGTCATGAGAAGGAAAGTTCAAGTCTTAGCTCTACTCATATATGCAGAAGATCCCTGCTCATGCTCTGAGACATGAAAATGGCTATCCTACACTGGGCTATAAGTGGAATTGCTCTCACAGCAAAGTGAGGACAAGCCAGAAGCAAGCCACATTTCTGGCTTTAACGCAGGTAGGTCCTGCACACAGATTTATTTTTTTTCCCCACAAAGGGCTTTATATTATTTATAAGTATTGCCATCAAATTCAAAGACCATAGCAGTCTATCAGTCCTCAAAACCCTGGACTTTGTTACTTCCAAAACCCTACTGGCTTGTGAGCAGGGTGCCCAAACAGTCATGTAATTTCCCAGAAGCTCAAGCAGGTTTTGGTAACAGCAAGGCACTTGGGAAAGACAGGTCCAACTATTCAAATTAGCAGCTCTCATTTACACTGACACAAAATGCTGAGGACACTTGTGGATCATGGCTGCATCTAAAAATGAGGTATTGCTTTGTACATCCAAAACTAAGCACAGAAAAAGGAGACAGAAATGGATGACAAATGTGACATCTGCTGGGAAAAAACACCTTTGAGGCCAGTGAGAAGGACAGGAAGTAGAAAACAAAGTCCATCAGGACATTACAGCCCGTGACATCAGCTACTTCCTCTCTTATGTCCAACAGCAGCTGCAGACGTGTCTTATTCCAGTTCTTTTGTAGCTCTGGCTGCCTCACACATGTCCTTCCAACTGGGCATCTGTGCTCACCATCTGAGCACACATTTCTGGAAAATTATTGCCAACTCAAAAAAAATAAGCAGCTGTTAAACAAACCAAGTAGGTTAACAGCATTCACCTCCCTGGATCCTGATGGCAGCAAAGGGATTAAGATGTTCCCTCCCTGTCCTTGCCAACACAATCCCATTCCACACCAGGGCAGGACACTCACAACCTCCTCCAGGTCTTTCTAAGCAACTGATGTGTTCCACTCCAGCCCAGTGGTAGTGGCTGACTGCTGCCAAGCAGCCACCCCAACAGGCAACAATAAAAAGAGAAGTCAATTAACCCAGGAGCCTGTTTTAGCCCAAGCCTCTTGATGCCAGGAGCAGATTAGTTCATGGCTTTGATTAAGTCAAGATAGTAATGCTCTACGATTTTGAAACCTGTGAACCACTTTCTTTCTAACTGAACCATTCCTGAACACCTGAGCTACCTAAGGGCTTTGATGACTCCATGCAAGCCATCTCTGGCTATAGACCAGCCAGGGCCTCCTCTGGGCACCCCCATCCATCCAGGATGCCTGCCAGTCCAGTGGGCTGCTTACCTCCAGGGTCTGGGATGTTGCCTCCAGACCAAAAGGAACTCACTACCATCACCACATGCACCAGCCCCTGGACAAACCAGTGCTGCTGTTATGGCCTGTGCTGGTTTGAGAGGCAGTGCAGAAGGAGCCTTACACCACTTCAGCCTTCAGGAAAGGGGCATTATCATACAACACTTCTCAGAAATGGGATATAAAAAGCCTATCAAGAGATGAGGGGATTTTCTCTTTCTTACCTCCCAGGTAAATGTCTCAACACTCATCTTGTTTTTACCAGGGAAGGCAAAAAGCGAGCAAAGGATTTCCGTGAGAACAAAGTCTGTTTCCTTTAGAAATAACAAGAGGAAATGCCCTGCCTAAACATGCAGCAGGACCAAACTGCAACCCCATTAACATCCAGGAAAGTTACTCACATGGGTCTGGATTTGACTCTTAATATTTGAACTCCAACAGCCGTGAACAATTTAGTGAGAGCTGGCTTCTCTACCAGATCTGCCTCCAGATCAAAACCCACTCATTTTTTGAAACTATGTCAAAATCATCTGCTATTACTACTGAGACTGACTGCTTTACTTAATTTATGTCCAGAACCTCATCTATGGGATGTGTGTCTAGATATAGATATATATCTATATATACATATAACATCGAGTTCACTAGCTGTGCTCTGCAGACTCCACACAAATTTCAAGTTTTACACAACATTGCCTGTGCAATTACTTCTGTAGACCTTTGATGTCTCTAAGCTAGAAACATCTTTCAGCCAAAAGTGCTCTGTATATATAAGGTTCATTCATTAATGCTGGACTGCAGAGGCTGGGGTTAATTCCCTACTGTGACAGAGCCTTACAGGTAGCCTTGGCCAAAAGTTAACTTGCATCATTCCTGCTCTGCAAAACCGGGAAAGGAGCATTTCCCCTAGGCAGGGGATGTATAAAAGCTTATAAGCAGCTTTGACAATTTGGTCAAATTGGAAGCCAAGTAAAAGTACTGGCTTTAAGCATCAGCTGTACATCCAGGGCCACAGCTGGGACTGCACATCTGCCCAAACAGAGAGACAGCTCCCAGGCACCCACCCAGGGGAACCTGTGACCAGAGAAACAAATTTATTTTGTGTTTGCAAGGCAGGTAAAATACTCAGTTTTAAACAGGTAAAATACTCAGTTTTAAACAAGCTGCTCTAAACAGCACAAACAGTGGAGATAAAACTACATTAGTGTAATGTGACTTTTGAGTGCAAGGGTGGCAATTAGGCTTTGTTACACCCCAGCTGCTCCCAGGCAGCACATGGGCTGAACAACAGTACCTCCACTTAAATGTTCCACCTGAGGTAAAATAGCCCAGACAGAGGAAGGTGTGACAGTATCAGGGAGTCAAAAAACCTTATCAGGAGAAGGAGACAGGCAAAGGATGTAGAGATGAGAGAGAAAATGGGAATTGGCTACTTCCCTCCTGAGCTGCCTTCTCCAACTTCAGACACATCATCCCCTGGTTAAACAGTGCAATAAAAAATGTGAAGACATGCATCAGGTGCAACACAGTGCTCTGGTGCCACATCCACAAGTTCCTCCTCAGCTTTCTATTAGGCCAAGCCAATTTAAAATACTTCCTATAGGTTTAACAAAGGGCCCCCAACCCAGAGGAGTCAGCCCTGCAATGGACCAGGGACCACTGCACCCCAGGGAGATGCATGGCAAGCAGCTTTGGTTCCAGGGAGGAACACAGCCCTAATTTATTGCAGAAAGGTGCTCTGACTCATCCTGGGCTTGCATATACTACAGTTTTTGGACTGAACACGAGGAAGAGATGGACTGACCCCATTTATAAACCCTTTATCATCAAAACTGCACTTGTCGAGAGCTCTCTTTCTTTGTTGTGATCTCCTAAGTGAGCAGGGAAAGCTGAGGTGCAGAAGCACTTCTGAAACAGAAATATTGCAGCTCCTAGCAAAGTCTTTTCCTCTTTTCTTGAGACAGTTTTTATGACAATTGTACCTGCAAACCTGCAAAGCTGACAGGTTCAATATCTACTTCCTCCAGACAGCCAATTTCAGATTTTGTTCTCTGTGTACGAGCCATATCTCAAACTGTGGCAGTACACAAGGACACCTCACACATGTGGTCCATGGCATATCCTTCCCAACAACTTAATTGTGAAATCAGGTCAATCAGGACTTTTTCCAGGGAATCATTACAAGCTGAATGACTTTCTTAATTGGGAGGGCAATTCTCAGGCTGCCTGCCAGTAATGAAGTGTCATTGGTAGGGCTGGTTGGGACACACTAAGGAGGGACAGTATTCACTGCCTAGAGCCAGAGGTCCAGGTGTTTTCTCTGCCTAGGACAGGGAGCCTGTTCCCAGATCTCTTCATTCAGCTCTGCTCAAGGGCACCGCACAGAGTTTCTCCATCACTGAGCTGGCAGGTTTGATATGAAAGCTGGAAAGCAGGCAGCAATGTCACCACTTCAGCTGCAAAATCAAGACCTAATTGAAAAATTCAGGTGATTGACATGTAAAAAGCACCAGCTACTCCATACATGTAGAGAGCAGCAGACCCTGTGCTCTGATGTGTGTTTATGATTTCCACTGAGATCAACCCAGGAACCTGAGCATCTGTGAAGTTCCCAAAGACACCCACTTTAGTATTCCTTCCTTTTACTGTGTGTCAAACTGCATGACACAACTTCCTACTAAATAAATGTATCAAGCTCCACCTTCAAATGAATGAGTTCTTTATATCATGCATATCAAAATTTACAACCAACCTTGATGTGGGATGCAAGAGAAGAGAAACACCAGAAGGCAGCAGGTGTAGAAATCCCAAGATGGATTTTCCTGAAACTACAACACGACTGCAATAAAGACAGAAATTCTGTCTCTGCTCCATGCCTTCTAAACAAGTGGGAGGCTTAATCCCAAATACATGTTCACAGGTAAAACTTCTCTATCATCCATCATCCCTGGGCCTTCCTACTGCTGCACCTATACTGCCTTGAAATCCCACCTTAAGAATGACGTTCCAAGAGATAAAGCAGGATTGCATTTGTTGGGGTAAATCTCACCCATCTACCCCAGCAGGGTTAGAAGAGAGCATTCCTTCCACATGGGCTCAGGATGAGCTGAAGATCCCCTTTGCCTGCACATTTGGGACATAATCTTGAGAAGGAATTGGATGAATACCCCCAGGAATGCACTGCCTAGATGACAACTGGAACTGCCCGTAAAGGCTTGGCTCCTTGTACACATATCCTTCCTCACATAAAAAACAAAACAAAAGACACTGTGTCATTTTGTTGCACAATCAGCTACAGAAATACATGCTTAGAAAAAGAGTCTCACTTCCTGAGCCTATACCAGGCCTATAAAAGCAAAAAAAAATATAGAGGTTTCTATTAGAAAGGAAACAACAAAAGAAGTTGTTAAAAGGCTTCTTGTTGTGAAGGGCTGGGCACTGCTCAGCATTCAAACACACTTAGGAACATTCATTCTGCACTCCATGATACCTTTGATGTTCATCTTCTTCTCATTTCTATCCTGCTGTCATCTTATTTTTGTCACTGACAAGATAGTGTCATTTCATTTATTCACAAGTTTTGATACCTTGGCTGCATCTGCTCAGTTAATGTCACTAAGCAATTATTTTTTTCTTTTCATAATTTTAAAATGATATTACCTGGCATCTGTACTCAGAAACTGCATCTTCCAGCTACTGAGAAAGTCTGAAGAACTCCTTTAAAAAAGCACCCTTGCCCAGCTAGAGAACCAGAACATATGAGAAGGAAATGGGAGAGCTCAGGAGATACCTGCTGGGAAAAGAGGAAATCTCACTGTGCTCAAGCAGGGCTGCAAAGAAACATCACAGAAACAGCACAGACAGGCACTACTGAGGTGTCCTTCCAGATGGATGGATGACCCAAAGCTGCACAGCAGGAGGATATGATGATGCAAGGGACCAAACCTCACTTCTTTCTAACACTGGCACTGCTAATTCAGACAAGAGACTACAAGGAGCTTAATTTTTGTTGTATTTAGCCTTCACATCATGTGAAGCTTTCCAACAAATCACAGAATATTCACTTCTGTAACCTTTTCTTCTTGTGGCTGGAGGTGAATATTAACCTCTTTATGCCATTTTGTTCAGAGTGAAACACTCAGAGACAGGATGGAAATTTCTCTTTCTACTGGTTTCATAACACAATTATATTAAATTCCATAAAACATTTTCAGCATGAACACTTTAAACATGTAATAAAATTTAAACTAGTCAGTTAATCTTGCAGTAGATCAGCTTCATTTCTTAGCTCCTATGAATTAATTTACCTCTAGCCTGAAGAGTTAATCACAGAGGGGATATTGAAATAAATGCAGTAGTAGAAGGACCTGCTTTACTAGATTGGGAAAAAACACTTAGTATTCAAAACTTATATTTTTTCATCTTACTGTCTGAGAGATGAAAGCCAAAATGTAGCCAGGGATCTACTTTAACTCCCTGGGCCACAGAAGGCAGGCTTTGGTTATGTTTTACTAAAAAAGATGGCTGTGTAATTGCTCAGGAAAGGCAACACCTGGACTTTTCACAGACCTTCTGGGCAGGACAGAGCTGCCTCTCCAGTCTGCTCCAGCTCCCACAGCACTGGTTACACCCAGGTGCAGCTGGAGCACCCAAACACTCCCCTGGGAATGCAGCTGAGGTCATTGCCCCATCCAAGGCAGGCTCAGCAGATGGGATCCCAAGCTCTGCACACCCCACGTGCCAAGTGGGAGCTTCTGGAGCACCCAGTGCCCAGTGTGGAAGGAAAGCACACCTTTCACAAAGCACATGGATACAGCCTCCACACTTCCCACAGAAACAGGGACCAGCCTGAGGGTGTGTAAATGTCATTTCTCCTCCAGCAGTGGGAGATTCCAGAGGTGCAAGGAGCTCCACCCCAGTGCCCCAGTGAGTGATGTTGTGTCAGCCCCTGGTGACCCTGATGGGGGTCACAGAGCAGATGGCCAGGCCAAGCCAGCCACAGCTGGGTTTGGGTCTCAGCTCCTTTGCCATAGTGGCACCTTGAAGGTCCCCTCAGCCTCACTGCAGGGCAACCAGGCTCCACACTCCTACCAGTGTGACAGCTGCCAGGCTGAGAGCACACCTAACAGCCACCTTTGTAAAACCAGAGGGCAGAAGGGGCAAGAAAAGGCTCCCACAGATTCAGGTCATGAAGGATGGTAAAGGGTTGGACTGCAAAGTGGGTCTAGCTCAGAGGTTTGCCCAAACTCCTGCAGGAGGAGCAACAGGTCAGCAAGAACCTGCAGTCTGCCTGAGGGATCAGAGCAGAAGAGCTCACAGCAAGAAGCTCGTTTCAAGCAGAACCGGTCTAATTTTGCCATGTTAATTAGGTCAACAAAACTCTCCAGCATCACTGACAGAGACTTGCTCCCCTGGCAATGTCCAAGTCAAAGTGAGGAAGACAACAGGCTCAAACTGCCACTTACAAACAAAAGAGACCAACTGAAAAGCACGTCCACACACAAGCTCTCAGCATCCCTCCCAGGCATCAGTGGCTAAGTGCAGAGCCTTTTTCTTACCACAAATACAAATAGAGTCAAAGAAAGAGCTTTACCAGCAGCCACAGCCACGTGACACTGAAAAACACTATTCCTGAGCACCCTGCTTTATTTGAAGGCCGCCTTTCAATTACTCTTTCCACTTCTGAACAAATATTTACCACTCAGAAATTCAAGACAGAGCGCACACACAAAAAAAGAAGAATGTCCTCGTTTGAACAATCTATTCTACTCAAAGCTCTATGAAACAACTCAAACTACCCAGAAGAATTTAAAAACTAACAGCCACATTCATCTGCCATGGCCTCAAAACATTTGACTCACTGCTTGAGTCTATTCTGACCTTCGACAGACTGACCCACAAGTCAGCACAGCTTCTTGGAAGGCAAATGCCTGCTCTTGTTATAAGAGCTCCACACAAAAACTAAATGCAACATGACTTAAGCGTGGGGAAAGCACTAAAGTGCCCCAAGACTAAGCAGAGGCTGGAAGCAGCTCTTTCAAGCTCAACCTTTTACTTTCTGCAGCCTGAGGAGATCCCTCACCCCTGAAGAACCTGTGCCTTTGAGTTTCAAGCTTTTCACTTGGTTCTCCACAGGAGCTGCTGAACCAGACCTACCTGCACATTCTCCTCTGTGACCTCGATCTCAGCGGTGTAGATGTAATCAATCAGCTTCCTCAGGGTCTGCCCATCAACATCTTTTATCTCAATCTTCTTGGCCTTACTTTCAGACATGTCTCCTGAAATTAATTTCAAAAGGACAGTTACAGTTTGCTCTGCAGGACCTTGCTCCCCACACATCCAGCACATTCTCCTGGTGTGCCAAGATTGCCTGGCACTATCCCTCACCATAAAAGAACCATCACTGAGATTCTCAGAAGCCTCCTAATGCCACCTAAAAAACAACTCAAGTTTGAGGACACTGATGTAAAACAACATAAATGAGCAAATGCAACAAACTCAATTTCTTGACAGAAAAGAGCCTGCCATGGTTCACCCGCATTCAAACAAATATAAGAGCTAAAAATAAACCCTCAGTATGTCCCTCAATCATGTCTCAGTACAGGGACAGACTCAAAGAGACTGTGGATGGATCTTATAGAGGCCTTTGAGAAACACATTTTTATCTATATTTTTAATAAATATATTAAAATGTTTTAAATATATATATATACATATGGATAGAATGATTACGTTGCAATAGCTACATTAGGGCATTTTGTGGTATACCCCACATTAAAAGCAATGCAGTGTAATTCTCTTTCTTTAAAAAGAAGCTGAAACCTGCTCAGGAAAACGAGCACACAGCCAGCAGTTACACCCAGCATGCAGCAAGCTTCTCTCCTAAATTATCCTGCTGTAACCCATCCATCACTTGCACCTTGTGCAAAGCATCCACACAGAAAGATTCACTTCTCATCTCTTACCTTCCCAATCTCACACCTTTGGATCCAAACTGCATCCCTTCTCCAAATCCATAACTCAAAGGCACATGGGACTAGAGCAATAATTTCCTCCCTGAGCATGCAAGTAAAGCCCCATAGCTGTGTAAGAGCCTATTCATTCACCCAGAGCTTTATGCACACCCACAGGAGCAACAGGAGCACATCAGAGGAACAAAAACATGCAGTGGGAAGGAGAAAGGACTCCCCAAGGCCCTTCCAGCATCCCCACACATGGTGACCTCACCAAGGATTTAATCACCAGGATCACCACAGAAAAGAAAGAACAAAGTCCCAAGTGGAAAGAAAATGATAGGTGGAAAAGCAAAACTAAACAAAGGAGAGCATGAAGAAACGTCAATCCTTAAACCTGAGCACCAATAATCACTACTCTCAGAAATCTGGTGACTCAGTACTGCTGTGGGATTAAGTGGAAAAATATTTCCTGCAGCCTATAGAAGTAATTACAGCCTACATCTCCGTGCAGCATTCCACAGGACGTGGCCAGGCACAGTAAGTGCACAGCACAGAGTGAGATGCTAAAGAGGGCCCAAGCTTCAGCAAAACCTGGATCCTGCTAATTGAACTTTTCTGACTTTCCTTATGTGAATAAGGAGGCAAATAATAGGAGTGGGGTGGGACCATGAGTGTTAGAACAGTCAACAACGTCCCAAGAACTGAAATAATATTTGCCCCAAATTCAATTTTTAAAATTGAATAATAAAATGTTATTCAGAGGAGCCCATGAATACAAATGAACCAGTACAAAAGGATAAATGACCTACATTTGGGAGGCCTTCAAAGCAGGTAGGACTTTTTAATTGACAAAATGTCATCTTCACACACTTCCTCCCTGCAAAAAACCCCAAACATCTCTAGAGATTAAAGGATGCTTCTGAGGACAAAGCAGTTCCCAGCAGCCTTGTGGTGCTGGAGGTGCCTGTAAGGAGCACCCACCAAATAACCCTGCATGGGGAGGGCAAGTGGAGCCCAGAGCCCTGCAGGACCCTCGGTGTGGGAAGGGGCTCAGCCACACACACCCAGAGATCGATGCAGAAATAGCTTGGAGGGATCAATCTGATAACATCATCTGTCGTGGCATCCATGTGATACAGGCAACAAAAATAAAGGCTGTGTGGGCTTCCCCACCCACCAGCAAGCTGCCAGCCCTGCATACCAACAGCCTCCACTGCCTGCTCAGGACCAGCCCAGGCCCCTGGGAGGGGATTCTCGTGCCCGTGGTCAGACAGGATCTGACTGATTGAGCCCTCCCACTGTCACAGGGTGGACAAGTGTCTAGTGCTGTGGAACAGGGAAGAACCTGGAGACACCACAAGTGAACCAAGGCAGGGGCTGGTGCAGACCAGGAGCAGGCAACAGGCTGCCCCTTGCTCCAAGCACAGACCCAGGGCAAGCCTCAGGAGCAGTGCCATGGGCAGCCGAGTGCCGGATCATTGAGGGCATCTCAGCTCACATCTCTTCAGAAAAAAACCCTACACCTTCAACCCCACAAAACACAACTCCTAGGGTGTCTTTCGTATGTCCAACTCCAGCCCTACCTGACACCTTAATTACAGAATAATTCAAATCACTAGCATGTCTCATGTGTAAAGGCTGTGTGAGAAAGGGGTGCCTGGCACGAGGCACTGCACAGACCCCCAGACCCCACAGTGTCCCTGCACCGCTGCAGCCAGCCACACACAAAGGACAAGGTGTGAGGGAGCAAAGGCAGGCAAAACAGGCAGGGTGGCTCTGAGCAGACCCTCTGTAGGGGACAGAGTTTGCAGACACCAGCCCCTCATGGAAGCATTCCCTTCCTGCACCACATTCAACATCCAGCAGCGCCTTTTCTGCTCCCCTCTTGCTGATCAGGGTGAGAAGAGAGCAGAGTTCTGTTTTGTCACAAGATAAACTACACACAAAACTGCAGCAGCCCATGGTGCTGTGTTTACCTAGCAAAGCAGCCTGCCCTGCCTCCTAAACATTGCATTTCCCAGTGCACAGCCACAGCTTTGTCTGTTCCCTAAGTCACAGATGTGCTGATGAAGAATATGAGTGCATTGGAAAACAAAACCACAGCCTCTCACACATGGGGGGGAGTGCTTTGAACCAGCACTCCCTGCACAGGAGGTTTCTGCTTTCTCCTTCACCACTTCCAAAATTCCTAAGGGATTGGACAGGAGCAGTCCCAGCACTGTCACTGAAGTATTTGTTACCCTTTCTGAAATGATTGTGTTTTCTTCTAAATGGACAGAAATTACTTTTCCAAATCATCCCCACAGAATAGTGCCAACAAGGACCAGCATCCAAAATGCTCTAGAAAACCAGCATGGAAAGGGACACTCAGGAAGTGCTGGGTCCCATCTCTCCTTCAGCAGTGGAAGATACAAATGGAAAATGTGCCTACCCATTTTCAGACTTTCCAGGAATATTTCAAAGAGGAATGGCTAACCAGAGGACACACGATGGCTTAGGAAAGACCCTGAGGTCATCACAAGGTCATTGTCACTCATGTCTCCAAAGTCAGGCCCAGCTGACAGCGGCAGAGCCTGCAGAGCGAGCGTGGGCACAGGTGGATGAGCTGTGGGTCCCAGGGTGGTTCCCTGTTCACAGCTCCACACTGATCACTCCCTGCTCACTGCTGGGGGACCCCTCAGTGGGAATTCAGTGTGCACAAGCAGCTCCTGCAAATACCCCCACAGTGCAGCTGAACCCGAGCCCTTGGCTCCATCACTGCTGCACAGTGCAAAAAAACCAAGTTACAACAACCAGCTCGTGCTGGAGCTGTGATTTTAAACTGTCCCCTCGCAGGGAATCCTCATGCAGCTGGAAGGAGATCACATGCTCTGTCTTCACAAGAGAGAGATCCAGACCTTAGGAATTTGGGGATAGCTGGACTGAAAGCAAAGGGAGAGCTGGTCTTTGGCTGACCCTCTGCCTCCAGGGACTTGTCAGGGGGAGGGGACAGGCGGCTGCTGAGGCTGTCACCCAGCCCCGGGGAGCTCCGGAGCCAGCCACATGACGAGTTAGCTGATTACTGTTTAACTCACAGAGTGAGGGATTACACGGCCCAGAGAATTCCTGCATGGAAACATGAGCAGCCCTGCCCACCACCTTCCCACTCAGATGACCTCTAAGGATCAGAGGGTTTTTCCAAGAGGTTTTTCTTTAGTAAACTGTACATCAGGAGCGAGCATCACAAGTCGTGCTCGAGGTGCCCTCACACACAGCTGCTTCTGAGCAGCGTTTGCTCTGGCTCACCACCACAGCCTGTACCAGCTTCAGGACACAGCACCAGTGCCCCAGAAAACACAAATGCTCTCCACCATAGCTCACAACACTGATAAAGCCACCATGGGGACTGTCACATCTTGCCTCATATTTTACACCTGAGGTTTTCTCCACACCTCCATTAGAGAAGGGAAAAAAAGCTTCACTAACGACAAGCTCTTTCCTCAGAAATGCTGCATTCCGCTTCCAGCAAAATGAATTAAACTAGATCTAATCTCAAGGCTTTTAAAAGGAAGAAACAAGGCCCAGACCACAAGCAAATGAACATGAAACGGGGAAAAAGCCCCTGAACCTCATTTATGTTGGAGCTCAAGGACAATAACAACCATTCCCTGGGGTGTACAATCATTTTCTTTGTATTTGTCAGTTCCTATCCTGGAAATGAGGGCAAAGAAAGGGAAGGAAGTTAAGGAGTTTCTGACCACACTAACTTTACTAGAATGACTTAAATAAGCTGCTCACTCCCCTCCTTCAGGATGGACATAGCTTACTTCGGGGTTTTTTTGGCTGATCCATCTGGGCACAGCCTTTGAAGGGCACCCGCTCCAGGGATCAGGTGATCAGAGCAGGAATTTTGTCCTCTTCTTCCTTTCTGTCATTACCAAAACACACTGGACTGCAGCAACTCACCCTGTTAAAAAGCTGGGCTGCTAAAACACACTGGGATCAAGAGAACAACAGTGTTATTTCAGGCAGCAGAAAAAAGTGCCATGGGAGATTAAACATCTGTGACTGCCAAATCAGTATCGGCAGGGCTGAGCCTTGAAACTACAACTCCTGTGCCAGCAACTTCTTTGATGTGCACCATGAACATTTAGGGCACTGAGCACATGCTTGATGATAACTTTTTCATGATCCAAGGTCTTGTTAGCGGAAAAAAACGAACCCACAAACCAGTGAGCCAAACCCCACAGCAAGCTCACAGTGCCCCACATGCTATCTACTCACCCCATAGCCACACAACCACCCCACAGGAATTAGTCAAGGATGACCAGCATCACCCATCAAGTACAGGAAACTGCAGACCCATTTGTACCCCTTCTCTCTCAAGGAAACCCTCTCCTGCCTGCACTGCAGCTCCTGACAGAGACACAGCCTGAGGGCTGGGGACTGCAATGGCCCATGCAGCCCAAGCACTGTCCGGTGTCAAAAGCAGTACCTGTAAACATGGCACAAAAATAAGGGCTGCAGGCTGCCAGCACCACACGGTGAGCTTCCATCTCCACGGTTTCAGCCACAATCACCACATCACACAGGAGCCGCTTGCTGTGAAAACACCACGAAAGACAAAGATCATTAACGAATTCCTGGTCAGGCAAAAAGCAACATCACTACAGCCCAAAAAGTGGAAGACCCACCATTACAGACACAGTACCTGAGCGTCTGCTAAATCCCAGGGGAAGGTCCTCTAATCCTTCAGTACCAGCTCTATCACTGCTTGCCTACAAAGCAAAGGCTGAATCCTCCTGAGGCTGCAACACTGCCTGTGGGTCTGCTTTCCCAAGGGCAAAAAAGCCTGGAAGCCAAACAAGGCATACAGGCTGCCCAAAAACCAAAGGGTAAGCAGCTCCTTCACCTGTCAAACAAGCAGGGCTTGGAGAAAGCACAGGAGAGCTTAAAGATATGGGCACTACCTGAGGCCAGGATCTAGTAGATATGTCAGACAAGAAATAGCCACACAGGGGAACACCAGGATCACTTTCATCTTTCCATAGGGAAAAGGTGGAGTGGAAAATGAAGTGATTTCTGTACTTCCTTCCATGCTTTTCACTAAAAAAGTGGTCACCAAAATATGACCTGGCACTGGTAAGTGCAGAGGCTGCCTCAGCCATCTGCCAGAGAGGAGGTATCAATCACTGGAGTTTATCCATGGGCCTGAGGACTTCATTTACCTCATGCATTAGTCTGGGATTAAGAGTCACTGGGATAAAGAACGGGGTTCCAGACAGAAACATAAAAAAAAGCCTTCCAAGCTCCCCCACTGACTCATTGTAGAGCTTTGGAAAAGTCACTTCATTAACGAGTGACCTTTTCTACCCGCCCCACGTATGTCCTTTGAGGATTCATTAGTTAATGTTTGCACAGAGCTTCGCAGATGCCGACAGCAAGAAGTGCTCAGCCTCCCAATAAGTTGGTTTAAGATGCTTAAGCATACAAATGCAAACTAAGGGTGTTCTTTTCAAATGTCAAGCCCGAAAAAGGATCAGTGTCTGTAAATCTAGATGTTGCCTTCTCTTTGGAAATACTTATCTCCACACTGAACTTTGTCTTTAGGAAACTGCATTACCAAATAAACATACACAGAGCTTCTAATGGACCAGCTATGTCTCTACTTCTCCATGCATTGAAATACATGAAAAAACCACTGTGAAATGGAGGGTTACAGTTGGAAATAGGAAGAAAGTAGGAACTGGCAGTCTGTGCTCTCATTCCAGTTTGGAAGGGGGAAGGGCAATGAAGAGAACTCTTTAAGAGCCTCTTAATGGAAGCTTCCTCATTTCTTTTAGCTTATATAAAAGGAGCTCTGTTCAATTTCTCTTTGGGCTATAGTAATCTAAAGTACCACTCATAAAATTAATTTCATCTACATTTGCAAACTAGAAGCCTAAGTGCCACTTAGGGACGTGGTTTAGTGGTGGCCTTAGCGGTGCTGGGTTAAAGGTTGGACTCAACGATATTAGAGGTCTTTTCCAACCTAAACAATTACCTGATTCTATATAGTATATAGGTTAAAGGCTTATCATGATTTTTCTGGACCCCATGAATGAGATTTCTGGATGCATGTGAAGAGAGAAACTATTATTCAAGGGATCTATTAACACTGATTGCTGACAGCTTAACAGATCTCAAGCTCAGTGCACATTCAAGAGATGTGAAAACCTTATGTTCCACAACAGCAGCAGGAGCCAACAAAAAAAAAGAAAGTGCCTAGAAGATGAAAACATCATACAGGTGCTTAATGGCAGCTTTCATTCTTCTATGTTTTGCCCAAGACACCTAACCACAGGCACTAAGAAACATTGTCTGTCTCCAGTTATTCCCACTATGCTTCAATTAACAAAGAAATAGTAGTGCACAAAAGATTTCTGAATATAGCTGCACAAACCTTTAGTTTCAGATCCTTTGCTTTCAGTACAAAGAAAGGACCAGAAGGATGCCAGTAAAAAGTAAAAAAAAAAAATACCCTACTTCATATAATGGTTACAATATTTCCATTTTGTTCCTATGCAACAGAGAATCACTGTCAGATATCTTTGGAAAGAAACGTTTCCAATCCTTCTCCACACTAGAGAATGTGTGTATTAGGAAACTATTTAATCTATGGAGAGTAAGTAGCTATTACAGCATCTCTTGATTACTTGGAGTGTGCAGAAGAGCAAAGGGTGTTACCTGCTTTCATCACATCCCCTCAGCAGTTAGGGAGCACGTACATTCATGTGTGTGACACATACATTCCACAAGAACTCTTTTTAAAACTAGAAGGGTGAGTAAGTCTAATGAACTAGTCAGAGAAACGCTTGCTGAACTTCTGTCTGGTTTGTGGGATAACAGCCACTGAGAAATAACTCAGACTGAGCCACTGCCACCACACTGCTGATGTGATGACAGCAGCTTTCAAGGCTGCATTCACAGATATTTTTTCAGCCTCTGTTCTCCCTGTGCCCACACAGCTGTGTAAAGACCAAGGTGTTCTCTTTTGACTAATATCAGGATTTTTCAATTTGCAAGAAGAGAGCTGACATTCTTCCTGGGTACGTGATTTTTTTTTCACCTCTTACTTTGGAATGCTAAGCCCAGACTGAGTGATGCTGTTAGTTAAAGACACTAAGAACAGTACATTAATAATCTTTGGTCTGTAATTATGTGTAGGTGTCCTAATATCTGTAATGTTCTATTACTGGGTTTCAGACCCTTATCTCAGTTAAGAACATAGTTTACAGCTGAATTTGCTGTAAGTAATGGAAAAGACTAAATTAATTATCATCTATAAATGAAGGTTATAGCTCAAATAATGTTTTTGGGAAGACAGAGGTCTGGGACTGGGCAGACCAGCCCACCACAAAATAACTGCATTTTAGCTTCCTATTTGTTGATTAATCCTTTGCATGCAACCATTAGCTGTAATAAAAATGACACAGATTATTTTCTACATCTCTCAATCAGCACAATTTTGCTAAAACAGAGAGGGTGCCCAGTAAGTCAAAAGTGTACCTCCGTAATTCATTCATGACCTTGAAAGCCTTTCTCATGTGAGAGGGATTGACTGTCACTGTACGCTGGTCCTTTTCATCTTCAGCTGCCTCAGAGGAACGGGAACTCTGCTTAATGCTAAAAACAGGGACAAAAAAAAGGAGCAGAAAGTTTGTTTCAATGACACTTTAAAAAACAAACATCCTAAAACTGCAGCACAGGGTATTAAGCATGGAGTTACTCACAAGTCAGTTAGTCAGTTTAGGTGCTCCACAAGAAGTGCATCAAAAAATGCAGCTACTTCTGCATGCATGTTGAAAGCCAACTCAGCCCACATTTCAGCCAGCAGGGAAGAAAAGTGAAAAGTGCCAAACACCTGAGGATAAAGCCCAGTCTTACAGGCTTCAGGCCAGGAAAGCAGTATAAGTTGAAACTCAAGACAGAACATAATTGCCTCACTGAGTAGAAATAAAGTTCAGCACTGGGAAGTACAAGAGTACCATGCATTTTTTTAACATTCACAGAGAAAAAGAAGTTTAGCCTTCAATGTCCTATCTGAAAAAGGCAAGTACACAACACATGATTTGTATCTTCTTTAGAGGCAAGTAGAAAAGGGCTATTAAACTCCCTGCACAGCTTTCAAAGCTTTCCTGAAGCCACTTGCTGTTTCAGAAATAGGTCTCTTTATTGCCACTGAAACATATGGAATGAATTATTAAACCTTCCTACCAGAACCACCAGCTACATAGGTAATATCAAACTGGAGGCACTCAGCTATGTGCTGTGTTTAACCAGGCCAACAGGTGCCTAAGGCACATACGTGTCCTCATTATTTGTTGGGAGCATTGGCTCTCTACACACAATTGACAGAGGGTCAATATCTCTAGCTCCCTGATCTGAAAGCCTGTGAAATCACTCGGAGCTAAAGGCTCCCACCTGCGAAAGGAGCAGCACTTTGAGGCAGGTCTCTGTTCCGCTCACATCCATGGCTCACCCTTCAAACCCCTGGCAGGCAAAGACACACGAGACAAGGCCAGGAGGGTTGTCCATGATGAAAACCAACTCCAAGAGAATGGCAGATCTCAGGATCTCATCGCCCCATGTGCCTGACTGGAGACCTTCTCACACCTTTTCCTTCCAAAGGACAGTCTCCTTCTCCTCCACCTTTGTCTCCTACTCCCCACCACCTTTCTTAGTTGGGCTGGTATGATAAAAAAGGCTGAATTGGGTTAGACCAGCAGCCTGGACAGCCCAGCATCCTGGCTCTCTGATAACCAGAAGGTCTGAAGAAGGGCACAGAGCAGGGAAGTGTGGAAGGATCCTTCCCAGAGCACTCCATCAGCTTCTGTCAAGGTGTGTATGCACACACATATATATCTATATACACACACTTACACACATTGACTTTCCCTTTGAAAAACATACCATTCACTATTTACAACCCCTTGACAGAGTGAAGCTCTGGCTAACATTACATCCTCCCCATTGCCTGCTCCTGACCAGTGGCAGTCACCATTCACCATGTCCCTTGACACCACACAAAGCTCTCTGCCCCCCAGCAGTCTTTGGTGGGCTGCACTCCCCTTCCTTGAGGAGCAGGAGGCTGAGCAGCAGCCAAGCTGCACACAGCTCAAATCCACGCTTGCATACTGAGCAGCCTCCAGCTTTGTGCCTGAGACAAAGTTAATGCCAAAAAACAGCCAAGTCCAATTCTTTCACTTTGCTGAGTGAGTGAAATATTTTCAGTCATAAGTGAAGCCACAAGGCTGAGCACATCACTCAGCACATGTCCCAGCGAGGGAGACAACTTCCCAGGCTCTGTTACAGTTGTCATCCAATTAGCTTAGTATGGCTGGGTTAAAAGAAGAAAAATCAGAAAGGAGAATACCTCGTGTTAACTGTTCAGCATTCAAGGGACTGGTACCAGGCAACGACACAAACAGCTTTTCTATCCCTGAAGAAAGCTGAATTCATTCTGTGCCACACATACTGCCAGAGGTGTTCATGGCCATGGAGCTGTGCTGGCACTTGGCTCTTCCCCAGCTCTGCAC